TACTGAAATATTAAGAAATAGTAAATCAATAAAACAAACGGGCAATGTTTATATAGTAATAACTATTTTGAAGCAAACTTCGTGATAATCTAAATCACGTAAGTAGCATTGATAAATAAATTCACTCTTTTATCTTGGGTATCAAAAAAATAAATCATGACAATTCTCAAACTCTTGAGAAGTTTATTAATTTTGGAAAAAAATATTCACAAGCGTATATCTACATCACAAGAGAATTTGTTAACAAAAATAAATGAATTTAGACTACAATAAAAATTAAACTAATACAAACTTCAACTGACGTTATTACAAGTCATATAAACTTTTCTTCGTCGAAAATACTTAAATATTAAGAAATAGTAAATCAGTAAAACAAAATGGCAATGTTTTTTGAGCAACTTTCACATATAGCAAACACAATTCATATTTGTATGTTATAGCAAAGTTTACATAATTGTGCTCTATAGCAAATATATATGTATAATTCGTTATACATATACAAAAAACAGTTGTATAATTCGCTATACATATACAAAGAAAGCAGTTGTATAATTCGTTATACATATACAAAAGAAAGCAGTTGTATACAAAAGATCAATTGTATAATCTGTATATGTATAAAACGAGAAAGAGAGAAAGGCAAAAGAAAATTGGGCAGGAAAATATTTATATTGTATAATTATAAGTGTATAGGACAAAGATATATGTATTTGCATGTGTATATACAATTTTCTCTTACTTTATACAAACAGAAGCACAATTTATACATTTCGTTTCTGTTTGTATAAGCGAGAGAGGCAAGGGTGGCGAGCGAGATTTGGGAGAGTGGCGAGTGAGATCTGGGAGAGGGGAGAGAGGGGAACGATAATATATGTATATATACAATTTCCTCTCGCTTTATACAAACACAAACACATTTTATACATTTGTGTTTGCAAAAAAGCGAGAGAGGCGAGCGAGACTGCCACCAAACGAGAGTGGTGAGCGAGATTCCACTAGGGAGAGTGGCGAAAATAACAATAGTTTGCTATAGGGTACAATTAAATCAAAGTATATTTATAGCATTTAATTTGAATTAATAGTTTGCTATTATATATAATTTTCCCATGTTTTTTATAGTAATAACTATTTTGAAGCAAACTTCCTGACAATCTAAATCACATAAGTAACATTGATAAATAAAGTCATTATTTTGTCTTGAGCATCACAAAAATAAATCGTGACAATTCTCTAACTCTTGAGAAGTTTAAACTCCTTTATTTATAGTCAACAAAGGGTAGTATGAACAAGTGTTTTTTGTGTCTTATCTGAAAAGTCATGACCTTTCCGAGAAGTCACAACCCTTCCAAAAAGTCACAACTTTTTGGAAAATAAAGTCACAACTCTTTGGAAAATAAAGTCACAACTCTTTGGGAAAGACACAACTCTTCGGAAAAGTCACTGCTCATCGAAAAATCACAACCCTTTGAAAAAAGTCACAACTTATCAGAAAAGTCACAACTCACCGAAAAAGTCACAATCTAAGTTAGGAATATTATAGTAATTTAACATTCAAGTTAGGAATTCATGCTTTTAAGGTTATATATATATATATATATATATATATATATATATATATATATATATATATATATATATATAACTCGATCTCGTTGGTTCAAAATATTGTTCATCTATGAAGACATGCTTTCCAAGTCTTCCATTATGGTCGTAAGTAATAAATCATGTACTAATAGAATTTGCATCCCTGCCAAGAGAGCAACTATCAGCCTAGTCATGATTATCTCAGACCAATCAAACAAATGAAGCATTTATTTCCTTGTTAATACTTAATACACGATATATTTTGAACCAAATCATATATATATATATATATATATATATATATATATAAAGGAGAAACACAAAATAGGTAATGTGACACCTCTCTATAACCTCCATTTGCATTTATCTTTTTTCTCTTTTTTTGGCTGTTTTTAAAAAATTAATTACTTATTGTATTGTAAAAATAAATTACTAAATTTATTACAGATAAACAATTTATTAATGAAGGAACATTTACAACAAAAGCTCTTCACATTCTTTTTTTTATTTGTTTGTCTCACTTATAATAAAGAAGAAACATAATTTATCTTTTTTCTCCATTTTTGGCTTTTTTTTAATTCAAATTAATTATTGTATTGTAAAAGTAAATTACTTAATTTATTATAAATAAATATTTTATTAAAGGAAGAACATTTACAACAAAAACTCTCCACATTCTTTTTTTATTTGTTTGTCTCACTTCTCATGAAATGATAATAATTTCTTTTTAAATTTTAAGTATTTTTCTCTTTATTTTTTAATTTATTCACAAGGAGTTATTACCCATGACTTACCCCTCTTTAATTTTTACTTTTAATAATATTCATAACTTTCATAATTTTTATTTCTATAACCTCAAACTTAAATTTGTAAGTTTATGATGTCTTATGGTATTCCTCTATTTTAGCCTATAAATTTATATTAGTTTCATGAATATTCACATTCAAAATTATCCTCTCTTCTTTATCATATTGGTTTGGTTTGTACCAAAAAAGAAGTACATAAAGGTAAGAAATATTTCAATCTCAATTCTTTAATTTTTTCATTTCCTCTATTTTGTCTATATAAATTCATATTTGGTTTGTGAATGAAACTAACATGTAACCAAAAAAAAAAAAGTACATGAAGTTAATAAATATTTCATTCTCAAGTCCTTATTTTTGCAGTTCCTCAATTTTATCTATATAAATTCATATTTACTTTCATGAAGATTCACATACAAAATTATTATTTCTCTTCTTCATCATATTTGTTTGTGAATTAATTAACATGTAACAAAAAAAAGTACATGAAGGTAAGATATATTTCATTCTCAAGTCTTTCGTTTTATTTCTATGTACTTAGACATGCTTTTTTAATATTTTGTTTATGTTTGTATTATCATTCATCAAGTAAGTATGATTTAAAAAAAATGTCTTTGTAATTTTTAACGATGTGTTGTAAGTATGCAATTATTCTTTCTAATAGTCTGTTTTCCGGATATAATATAGTTTAATTTGATAATAATATTTGTTAGATTTCAATAAATGATTATTATGTAGTATTGTTAGTACTATTGAAAAAATAATATACAAATATATTACATATAATGTAAATTTCTTTCTTTCTTTTGATATATTTATTTTTAATTAGTATATAATAATTTATTTATTTATTTTTATTCAATTGATTGTATATGATAAAGAGTTTGACATATGAAACAAAATATGATGGCGAATCTACTTGCAAATGAAGATGATAGAAGGGGAAAAAGAAAAAGCATAATTAGAGATTATTTTTGTTAGATTTTTTTTTTTTACTTTGTACATAATTGTTCCAGCTGAAATACTTGGAATAATTCTACCACTTCTACTAGGAGTAGCCTTTTTAGTGCTAGCTGAACGTAAAGTAAGACTTGTATTAGTAACTTACCTACTTTGCTAGAATTTTTTTAATTTTGGTTTGAATAAATAATTTGGCTAAATGTATTGTCAATGCTAATCATTTGATCCTTTACTATTTTACTTTTTTTTGTTATGAAGCACAATTAGTATAATTATCATATTTCAACAACAACAAAAAAATTATGATGATTAGGAGTTTCATTTTTATTATACTTGCAAAAAAGTAATTGAAAAATAAAATATTAGTTTCATGATGCCATTTTTTTTGCGTATGTAACAATCTGTTTCTGTCACCTTTTTTTTGTTTGAAATGTATTTATAATTTTTATGCAGTCACCAATTATTATTTATTATTATTATTTTGTTCATTTTTTTGTATTTTTTCCCCTTATTTTCATTTATTCATTTTACAAATAAAATCAATGCATAAGTGTTAATACATTTAATGTCTAATAAAATCATACATTTGAATTATTTATAACTCATGTCTCTTCATCTTACTTGTAACTTATAATATTAAATATTATTCATAACTTTTGTATGTTTCATTTTTCATAATTCTTATAAATATTTAATTAATGTTTAAAAAATTATAATAAACAAATATAATAATAGAGACATAAAAAAAAGTTTTACTTAATTCTTTTTTCACGTTGTGTGAACTACTTCAAAATATTGTGATTACGTGCTATTGAAATCTTGGTCGACTCATGGCTTTTCAAATTCAATGGATCAAAACTTGCATTTCTACTGCTAAGTTTTATGAATAGTAAATAAAGATATGAAAGTTGCGAGTATAAGGAAATTTTAAACTCCAAGAGCTCTAAATTTGTGTTTAGAAGAAAGAAGATTGTGGATCTCTGTTCGATTTGATAAAGGGAGAAAACTGCAACTTGTAAGTGTATCCTCCATGAAAGATGCCTGGAGAAATGGCTAGCTTGTTCTCTTTGAAGGAGTGATTATACCAGAGAAAGTGAAAAAGAGTAGAAAATTAGAAGAAGGGAAAAAGAGATTATAGCTTTGAGAAATAGCTAGATCTTCTCTTGCTATCTGGTTTGAAAAGAGGGTATTGCTGCCTATGTTGCTTGAACTCTTAAAACCCCTGTTTTTCGGGTCCAAAACTAGTGCATTATTAGAGGATCCAACACAAGTGTGGCAGCATTTTGGAGAGTGAGAAACATCGACTGCCACAATAGTTTCCAACATTTTTTTTCTTTTTCCCTGAGGTGATTTTGCTAGTTGATGATGCTCAATAACAGATAGCAAAAAAGATATTATGAAAGAAGCCTCGATTATGTCATCATTCGTCACTCATGAACAATTAGATTCACTATCCTGGTTATCGTTTATCAACGTTTTCACCTAAGTAGGTCAAAGAAAGACATGATTTGAGAGGCAACACAAGAAAACTAACAATTCATTGGTACCGAAGAAAAAGAGAGAAATATAAGCAAGGCTGTGATGACAGTAATGTAAATCAAAAGACTTCCTAACATACTGACTCAGTGGAAAATGTGAGAACATTCTGGTGAGGATTGAAAATTACTAAATCTGATAATGTTAACATTCTGAAACTGTCTGCTAGAATAAATCTGAAAAAATAAGGACTCTAGCTTTTTAGTAAGGACATGTAATTTAATAACTTGACAGCACCAAGTTATGTACAACTAAGCAAAAGCATCCCTGTTTGGATATGCAGGGTACTAATGACAAACATCACAAACCTGGGTGAACAAGTGCTGAATGTTAACTCGGTTGCACAACTCAGCTTTTGAAGGTAATCTTGGATGAGGGTCTTACAACCTTGATGATAATCACGGCTCGTCTTCCTCATCATCATCAGAATCTTAATCGGTATTATCCTCATCATCATCAGAATCTTGATCAAAATTATCCTCATCATCATCAGAATCATGATAATAATAATCACTGGAACAGTCTTCCTCGTCATCAGAATCTTGATAATAATCACTGCAACTGTCTTCCTCATCATCAGAATCTTGACAAGGATTATCCTTAGCTTTAACCACAGAGGATACATCTACAAGCCTACACGTGAAATGATGTAAATCATGTGAAAGAACCAAATAATGAAGATTCGGGGCACAAATTTCCAAGGAACTATCACTTTCACTTCCAATATCATCCATTCAATAACCTTCCAATTTCAGGCTTTCTACTTTAAAAGAATTAATTTCCAGGCTACGAAAAATCCCCAACCTTGTGAAATTAAATAGTTTCCAAAGCAGGATAGACTGACAGTAAGTTCACAATTTCGGCATTCCCTATCACCATATCCTCCAAAAGTTATGCTCTTTAGAGACTTTCACGCTATGACAATATATTAGAAATAAGGAACTTTCTACTAGATGCAATGTTCTCAACGCTGAACAGGTAAAGAAAGATTCAGTAAATAGACAAAGAGGATCAGAATAGACTATAACAAGTTCCACATTTTTTTAACTGCAAAACAGCCAGTTCCTTTTTCTTTTTCCCTGAGGTAGCTTTTCTAGTTGGTGATGCTCAAAGAACAGATCACATAAACAATGTTATGAAAGAAGCCTGGATTATTGTCATTAAGATCGCAGTTGTCACTCACGAAAAATTAAATTCACTTTATTGGCCATAGTGCATCCATTTTGTCAACAAAGTAGGTCAAAGAAAAGACAGGATTTGGAGGACAACACAATTATAATTCCCATCATATACCAGGAATGTAAATCCAAAGACTTCCAAGCCAATGCCAAGTGACAAACAAATGATAAAGTTATAACCCGAATCAGCAGAAAAAATGAGACTACAAGAGGGGCGGGGGAGAACTTTCTGGTGGTGACGGAAATGACTTGCTCTGAATTTTTTAGCAGACGCATCAACGGCAGGATAAAAATTGGTAAAAGATTTAGCCTAATAATGACCTAAACTTCAACTAAACAAAATCAACAGCATTGTAAGCCTCAATTACAGACTGTTACAAACAATGCAGACCTCTTTCTTCCAAGTAAAGCGCCTATGAGAGAACCATTTCGCAATCAAAGTTTCATGCTATTGACAAAGCAAGGAAGAAACATTTAATTACAACTTAAAAGAAATTCGCAATGCACATGCACAACATCTAATCTAAAATGTAACAAACCAAAACTTCATGAGAAACCAAGCTACTATACCATTTGATAAACCATAACAGTAAGTTTCAAAAGAACAATAATTAATAACATAGAGAAGTTTAAGATTAGCGATTGCGTGAAGTTGATCAAAAACTTAATATAACGGAAAATTTCTTGTATCCTGAGACAAAAATACTTGTAGTCTAGTTATAGAAAGCTCACTCTTGATAGGCAATCACAAACTCAGCAGAGGATCTCAATTTACTAGCCAATTGCGATAAAAATCGGGACACACACTTGATTCCACAAATCTCACACCTTCGTCTTTTTGAAACGATAACGAACTTCTCCAAAACCACTGCATTCTTTAACAAAAAGTTTGAAAGTTTGAAAAGCTTCCTGATATATTCCCAGTTGAGATGCTCCTTCATGCACATCCCAGAGGAGATGACAATCTCAACATTCTTTAGGTTGGGAAACACAGAGCTTGAATTATAACTCTGCAAATCAATACTATCACCTTTGACCAAATATTCTCTCTCAAAATAGCACCTGGAATCATCAAACTGGAGAAAAAGAAAATAGTCAGGACTAAATACAAGCCAGCCTAAAAATATGATTTTCACAGTATGACTGGTGCAGAAAAATTTCAAAACTAACAGACATGAATGGTGGTTGGAAAATGATTGTGTATCATAACTATTTGTGGCATAGGTATCCGCAATAACAGAATGATAGTGCAACAATCCCTTTCATTTTAGAGTGCCTTTGCCACAAAGAAAGCAACAAGACCAACCATATTAAAGTGTAGCTTTACAATGACAAAAGCAAAGCTTCTTAGTGATAATTAAGGGATATATTTGAGTTATCCTTCAAAAACAATTTGCGGGGAGGGAAGAGAGGTTGTTAAAACTTCATTAAATGAATAGATGTAAGAAGAAAAGAAGAAGTTCCAGAAAGTTACAGGCAGATTTTCTATTTCTAAGTTGACTGTCTCCACAAGAGGCGAGGCTCGCAAAAGGCCAGCTGCCCCATACAAACTAAACTTTTCCAAATGCAACTCCAGCACTAGATGTTTGCATTCCAATTCTGGAATTGGCACTCCTTTGAACTGCAATATGCATAGGACCTGGTGCAATAATTCCAATGAAACTAGTAAACAATGGGGAAAGCAATAAAGAAAGCACTTCACAGCAAAGAAATAGGGCTGTTACAAAATCTAACAAAAATTCTAGTTCCAGGTAAGATAAAGGAAATAACACAGTTCCAAAGCTGACAAAGTCCCCACAAGTTTCTGTAATATGTCCAGATTGGTTGATGAAATTCGCACAAAGGTTCTCCATTGTATAATGTTTACATTCTGAAACTGTCTGCTAAAATTCAATCTGAGAAAACAAGGGCTCTAATTTTTTTGAGAAAGATCATGTAAGTTTAATAACTTGTAACACTAAGCAAAAGCATCCCTCTTTGACTATGCAGGGCACTAACGACAAACATCACCAACCTGAGTGAACAAAGTTCCGAATGTTAATTCGGTTGCCCGACTTAGCTTTTGAAGGTAATCTTGGATGAGGGTCTTAAAAGCTTGATGATAATCACTGCAACTATCTTCATCCTCTTCATCAGAATCAGAATATTGATCATAATCATTGTGCAGATCTTTGATACATGTAATGTCGAAAGTTATCTTAGCATTAACCACAGAGGATGCATCAACAAGACTACACTTGAAATCATGAAAATCTTGCGAAAGCTCCAAATGCTGAAGATACGGGACACAAATTTCAAATGAGTGATCACTTTCACCACCATCATCCACCCAATAACCTTCCAATTTCAAGCTTTTTACCTTTATCGAATTAATTTCCAAACGACGAAAACCCCCAACATTATTAAATACTATAGTTTCCAATGCAGGACAACCTGATAGTAAATTCTTAATTTCGGTATCGACTAGCACCATTTCCTCCAATTTTATAGTCTTTAGAGACTTCCAAGCTATAACAATATTAGAAACCAAGGAACTTTCTGCAAGATGCAATGTTATCAAAGACGAACAAGTGAAAAAACTTTGAGACATTATGTAAGGAGGAGGAGAATAGAGTACAACATGTTGTACATTTTTTTTAACAGCAAAAGTAAGCCATTGGCTTATTTGAGACTTGTAGTTATGCAGGGCACTGCAGTGGATCTGAAATTTTGTAATTTTGGAAGCAGTGGAATGAGACAATACATAGTCAACAAATGATCGAAATCCTTTGTTTCTTCCCAAGAAGTATCTAGGAGAGAAAATGAAGGAATCAAGTGAAGTCCAGAGATACTGCCACCTTTTAGAGAGAATACATGTTGTGAATGCTTCTTCTGTCGGCAAAAGGGAGAGAATTTGAAGTAGAAGTGAGTCCGGCAAGTCACTCAGACGATCATCTAGGGTTTCTTCCGCCATGATTTTGTCTTTTGTGTTTCTAAACTCCTCTTCGGTAGTAGCCTCTTCAATTGTACAGTTAAGTTATATGTTTTATATATTCGCCTAAAATTAAAATTATACTGTAATTAAATAAGGGTTATACTAAGGCCCGTAGTCCATACGATTAGAGAGCATGATACAAAATTGCATGAGATAAAGTTAAAATTTTGTTTAAATATGTAATTTAAATTTTTAAGTAGTATTGTTTACTTGTAAACATAAAAAATTTGTAAGGTTGTGAAAATTATTTAAATTGACTATTATTTATATAACTTACTAAATAAGCAAACTATCCCTAAGCTATTCTAATAAAAGTACAATATTTTTATTGATCGGACTCTAATTCAATAATTAAAAAAGTTGAACAAGAGTTATAGTATACTACTCTTTATTTTTATTTTTAAAATATATACTACTATTATTATTAAGTAATAATAAATTTGGTTATTGAGAGTAATGATTATATCTGATAAAATGATTTAAAAGTGGGTTAATGTAATGGCTATTTCATAAATTTTGTTGGATATGTGATTTCATCTCGTGATTTAAAATTTGTGTTATGCAATTTCAAATCATGAGATAAAATCTCAATTTTTTCAAAAAAATAAATAATTTTAGAATTTCATATCATGAATTCACATTTTTCAAAATCAAAAATTTATATTTTATAAAAAAAATTGTATAAATAAAAAGGCTTTCATACCAACTGTTAAAATATACAGGCAAAAGCAACATTCAAGATCACCAATCTTACATCAAACAACGTGTTGAACCTTTTGCACAATTCGCCAAAACAAAGTGATCCAAGTTGTGATCTTCTACTATTTTCCTACAACCTCTTAACTAAAACTTGTGTGGTAAGAGTCTTTTCTTCTGGAAAAGGGATGATCTTCTCTAATGTAAAATACCATATTTATTCCCAATAGGGAAAATGTAATAACTCTGAAGTGTTGTAAATAGTGGTGGATGTCATATGTGGGCCCACTATTGTTACTGTAGGATTATCACCTCTCCAAGTTATATTTTGCCTATATAATAGCGTCTCACAAAGCAATAAAAAGACACTAAAATTAGTTGCATCTCCTATTCCTCTACTTTCTGACTTCCTCTTAATTTACTCTTTCCATTTGATTCTAGTTTTGTGTTGATTTTATAACACATTATCAACACGAAGTTCAAATCAAATTTATTATCTTGAAATTGAGTTTTTTTCTTCTTCGAAAGAAGCTATCTCTTTTGAAAAAAAGGTCTGAGTATGCACTTACCAATTTAGGGGTGTACATAGGTCGGTTGGTTTGGTTTTTCATTAAAAAAAATCTAAACCAATTATGTCGATTTATTAAATTTAAAAACCAAATCAAATCACATAAAGTCGGTTTTTTTCGGTTTCGGCTTTAATCGGTTTTTTTTTAGTTTTTTCAATTTTTTACAACTATACGGTGTTTGAAAAGAGATCAAATATATTTTCACTTACCTATGTGATAAGCTAAACTTAAAAAATGTTAAATTAATAGAAATCTTCAAAAAGATGATAAAATTCACATGAGTACAAAATATATTTTTTTTGAATTATCAACGTTCAATATGCTAAATTAATAAGATTAAACGCTATAATCAAACTGAATACAAAACGAAATATTTACAAAGTAAACTGTTAGCTTCGAATTTGAAAAACTATAACAATACCATTATAACTTCTGATTCAAAATAAAATATTTACAAGCCCAAATTTGAAATAATATATATAAACATTGAAAACTATAAACTAACTAAAAATATATTAACAAAGTAGATTATAAATAATATTTTTTATCTATAAATAAAATAAAATTATATATTTATATTATGTCAGTTTGGTTTGAGTTCGATTTGACTTTTTTTCTTTGAATACCAAACCAAATCAAGAGTGGTCGGTTTTTTTTTTCAACGCCAAACCAACCAAACCAAACCACAAATCGTTTTATTTTTCGATTTGATTTGATTCGTCGATTCAATTTGACTTTACGATTTGGCATGTACACCCCTACTTACCATTGTTAGTGCTTAAAGAAATATTTTTTCTCTGTTTATGCTATATTTGGTATCAATTATAAGTTTTATTAAGAATATCATTTAATGCCATCATTCCTATTACCCCATACACATTAGTTATCTGTGTAATTTTAATTAATCAAATCATCTTGTATTGATCCTAAAAATCATGTATATGCTCCGAAAATAGTTCATTAATTTTATTGGTTTGGTCATTATCAAGAAATTTAGTGAGCATTCTAACTAAAATGGAGGAAGAAATATTTTATTATTGATATGATGATATATGATGGAGATCTGCAAAATATAGAAGATGAACTTATAAAGTTACATTCATCGAGATTTTCTTTATATATCCATCAACCTCTTTATCACTTTAACACGCCAAAGATTTTAAATCTGAATTTAAAAAAATAAATGAAATGGGTTCCTCAAATTTCTCAAATTCTTGTTGTGATTCCAACAAAACTCAGATGAAAAAAAATGGGGGAAATTGGTTGTCATTTACAGAAAGTTTTTGTCCTATTTATCTGATTGTTGGTAAAGTTATTGACTGTTTAAAGACCGTCAATTATTTTTTCATGTTTTGTCAAGTGTGATCCTACTTCTTATAATTTGGCTCTTTAGTTTATAATGTTTGCTATGTGTCTTACATTGAAGAAAAATAAAATAAAATAAAATAAATTAATCAATTTATTATTACAAAGTCTTTTTCCGATTCAGAAGTCAATAAGCAAAGATAACTTTTGTTGCTCTTTAACTACTGCAAAGGTAAGTGTGGTTGTATCTTTATACATATTAATGAACTTTCTCTAAAAGAGTACACTAGTATTTGAAAAGTAAAATTGCATACAGATAAATTTATTTTTCTTCTCATATTCATTGAGGGTACAATCTTTGATTAGATTATAATTTATTCATCTTGATTATTGAATGGGATAATAGAATATTATTTATCATGTTTAGAGTTTATTGATTATATTTTATTGGAATTTAATTCAATCATGCATATATTTATAAAGCGACGATAGTTTAAAGGACCGTGGTTGAGTTTCATTGCACCTTGGTCTATCATATTGATTGAAATTATGGTGAAAGATTCAAGTCTCGTCACATTAAGAGGATAAGGTATTGATTTTGCGTTCCATTAACCTAAAACGTCTTTTTATGGGAAAGACGTTGGATTTCAAATCTCAATGCACTATATTGATGGTATAATGATGACTGGGAAAAATTAATATGCTCTTGATAAAATTTGTGAAATTCGCCTAATTGATTTGCTTCATTCTCTTATGTGAATGTGATAGCACTGTGTAATATGTTTGAAAGATGACAAGTAATTGAACATATGAATATGGGCGTGAAAAATAATAATAATAATAATAATAATAATAATAATAATAATAATAATAATAATAATAATAATAATAATAATAATAATAATAATAATAATAGTCATCACTGTGATGATTATAAAAGAAAGAACAATATGAGTTCTCAAAATGGTCCTTCAAAGAGTGAAGATAATTCTTGTCATCAAAATGGTATAAAAGGGCATTAGATACATAGTTATTGTGTGGCCTAATAATTTGATTTTATAAATCCTCCATCAAAATAAAGAAATATTAAGTGATAATGCACTTGACCTTTCAAAAATGATGTTGAGGTGTGTCATGTAAATATGATAAATTTCAAATCATAACAATGAGATTCTAATAAAAAATAAATAAATTATGAAGTATGTATATATTATTGTAGGCAATTTCTTAAAGAGAATATAACTTGTGATAAACATTGTGAATGCTCAACCATTCTTGAAAGTGAATGTGTCAAGAGATGATGAAAATTATAAAATAAAGACATACCCATGTATGATTTAATAAATACCACAACTCACCCCAATGGGAGGTTAGAGGGAAATAAAGAAATTTTATGTTGGTATAAACGGTCATTGGTCAAGTACTATTAGTACATCGCAAATATTATGATACGTTTTATGATGAACTATCAAAATGACTAAAGAAGGAAATAATTCTTGACCACAAAAATTTATCATTGATTATGCATCTGTGTACGTCAAAGGTATTTTGCCTGATATTAAACAAAATGAAGGAGATACTAATGACAAAAGTAAATCAAGAAATAAGGTTCTGCTTGTAATGATTTTGACCATGACAATAATGATATAAATTTCTCCTTGAAAGAGATGTGTATCACACAAACAATGTTATGAAATATGTGGTAGTATCTAATGAATATTGTGAGCTATGGTGATTTAATGTGCTACTACCTAAAGAAATAAAATTGCTCATGATATCGAAATTGTAGTAAGTCTTGAAACTTTTTAAGTTTTAAAGAAATAGTCAAAAAAAAATTAATATTGAGACAATAAAATATGAAAAGATTAAAGATCTTCATATAATCAAAATGAGTTATAAATATTTATGTGAAAGATTACTCATGTCTTCATATTATTCGTGGTAACTAAATATGGACATGATGATAGACTCACATGCAAAATAAACTAGAAGTTTATCGAAATAAATATCAGTTGACATGATCGGTTGATGACCATTTCGGTTCAAATATGATACGGAAATAAATGACAATTCATATGGTTATATATATATTGAAGAAATAATAAATTCTTCAAGAATTCTCTTGTGTTGTTTGTTCTCATGATAAAATTATCATTACACCAACTAAGATTGAAATTGTATCTCCTGGAATTTGAAATGTATAAAAAGGTGAATATGGGTCCGTTCACCTGCCATGTGGACCATTTACTATTATATAGATGCATCTATGCTATGGTCACATGTGCTATATCATCAACTTGCAATTTGATTTTTGCAAATGTTGTTTGCTCGAATTGTTAAATCAAGAGCACATTTTATAAAATTATATTCATGATGTTGATTTGTATTCAAGTGGCTTAAGCAGAAATTATATGCCTCAATTATAGCTAAA